TAGCTAGTAAACACTAGGTAGAATTTTTTATATAGTTAAGTTGTTTTGCCTTTTACTTTTTATACTAGGCAAAAGTTAAAAATCTAACTTTTATGCCTTATTAAGTTATACACTATAACTTTAAAAGTGCTATTAGTAATTAAAGTGTCTATCTCTATGCAGTTTAATTTCTTAAATAGTTTTTTAAGTGTAGTAATTACACTATCTATATAAAGCTTAATAGATAAGGCCTAATTATTTTTTTTTTTTTAGGTTAAAAATACCTAGTCTAGACTTTATGCAGGTTTTCTTTGCTTTTTACTTTTTCTAGTATCTATATTTTCCTTTTGCACTAGTGCAGTATTGCTATCCTAAGGGGCTTAGTTTATAGTAGGCTCTAGTTCTACCTCTATAACATTCTTATAAAGCTGTTCTCTTTTCCTCTTCTTTAAAGGATCCTTTTATATAGGGATTAGTTTATCTAGGTTATTTATTATAAGTAAGTTATCTTTTTTTTTTTCTTTATAGTACAGTTTAACCTGCGTACATTAGAGCTTTAGTAGGCTATTCTTTCTTTTAATAATAATGTTTCTTTCTTTAATGCTTTTAATCTTATATAGGCTAGTCTAGCCTTTCTTCTCCCTCTATGCTATAATCTCTAAGCTAAGAAAAAGGTTAAGAACTTTATATGTTATAAGGCTATTATAAGTATTAATTATATAATTAATGTTTACTTTTATATAGTTTTTTTAAAGTATCTTTATTACCTTTTATACAGCGCTTGCTTATGCAATAATGTCTAGTAATAGTAAAAAGTTTAGGTTAATTTTTAAGTATGCTTTAAAGACTAGCAGTGTAGGTACTAGACTATATAGGCTAGCTATGTTGTTTAGAGCTTTAACTACTATCTGTAAGATAGCCTTATTATTTATACAGTTACCTAGCTTAGTCTTTAGGATGTTAAACACTTATTAAAGAGGTGTGTGCGCGCGCTTAACCTTTCTAACTGCCTAATATGCTTCTATAGGCATCTGCCTGCATGTAGCTCTTATAATCTTTATATAAGCTTAAAAATCCTTTAAAGCAAAGTTTATACTAGAGTTATGCATAATATAGTCTAGAGGTCTTTAATAGGTGTTAATCTAGCATTTACATAGTGCATTCTAGGTATCTTATGCAGACATAGATTTTAGGAATGTAGCAGCCTAAAATAATGTGTCTATATTAATAATATATAGGACATCCCTATTATTAATTTATATAATATTAATAATAACTTTATAGTTAAAGTAAGTGTTATTTTTAATTATAAACTTAAATTTTTATAAGGCCTAGTTATATAATTAGCAGAGGTAGCAGAACTTCTTAATCTCTTCTAGCACTGCAGCATTAATGTTGTGGCTAGCGCTAGTTAGCATCTTCTAGAGTCTCTTTATGTAAGGGTGTCTAAATTAGCAGTAAAGGCAGTAAAGTTTTAATTTAGTAAAAAAAGACATAAATTTTTTCTTACTAATATTAAAAAAAAAGTGTTCTTATTTTTATATAATAAAAATAGTAGTTTTATTTTTATATATAATAATATTTAAAATGTTGTTAAAGTATGCCCTAAGTTAGTTAGCATCTGCTAGTAATAGCAAGAATAATGTTAAAGTCTCTAAAATATAGTATATAACTAGACTAATTAAGTTTTAGATTTATATAGTACTAATTAATTTCTTTAGTGTCTAGCTTTTAAAGCTAATATCTGTTTAGCTAGGTGTTTAATTAATTTTTATATATAGGTTCTTTTATATGTACACCTTAAGTTAGAACTTACTAATAGTAGAGATCTTTACTGCGCCTATGTTCTATAGTTTACTTTAGTATACTATATAGTATTAGTTGTTAAGGATAAACTGCTTAGCATATTCTCTAGGTTTAATGCTGTAGATGTCCTCTTCTGTTGCATAGTATAAATAAGTAGTAAAAGTAAAGTAGTTAATAGCTTTTTTAGTATTTTTACTTTTTTATTTTATTTTTTTTATATTATGTAAATTATTCTCTTTCTTAAAGTAACCTTTAAAGTTTTAGATGTATAAAGTAATAGCTTTACATAATAAGGTTTTATTATAAAAATCTTTATATAAGGCAATGTACTAGTTCTTTGCTTATATATAGTTATTATAAAAGTAGTTTAATAACTAACATTCTTTCTTATAGCAGATAAAGCACTTCTTTATTTATATGTAGTTGTCTCTAAATTATAGCCTAAACTTAGATAAAAATCTTTTACATTATTTTTTTTTATGTATAGGGAAGCTTTTTTCTTGTTATGCAGACTTTTGTTGTGTAAAGTTATATTAGCAGTCTATGTAGTATATATTAGGCAGTTCTTAAAGGTATTAGTTTACTCTTTAGTTTATAGTAACTTAAAGTAATGCTTATAAGTTACTAAATAAGGCTTTACATAAAAGCTTAATAGTAAATATAGCATGTTCTAGTTCTAGTTATCCTTAACAAGCTTGTATAATAGTAGTGTGCAGTAGAACATTTTTTTAAAATTTTATTCCTAGTGCCCTTTATATAAGTGTAAGCTTATTAATTATTATTTTAAAAACTTTATGTAAACTTTTATTAAAGTTTTTTTATTAGTATTATATAAAAGTTATTATTATCTAGTCTGTTTAGTACTAGCTATAGTTTACATTAGTGTTAAAGTAACTACTTAAGGTGTTGTATAAATGCTTCTAGTTATGTCTAAAGCCTATGTTGTGCATATAGTACATATTTGCCTAACCTTTTAGGATGTTTAGAAAGATGTTTATATACTAAGTTTTCTAAATATCTAGCTGTTAACATAAATTAATAAAAATCTTTATTTTATTTATAAAAATGTTATATAGTTAACTTATATAGTTATTATTTTTCTTTTATATTTTTTAAAATTATATAATTTTATCTGCTAAGAGTTTTTCTTTTGCAGTTTCCCTCTAGAGTAGAAGTTTATATAGGTTGTAATGTAGTATAGATTGTGCAGGTAGTATTAGTAGTGCATACACTACTGCAGGCAGTAGTGTGTACAATTAAAGGTGTAGAGCAGGCGTTAGGTAGAGTGGCATGTATTGTTTGTACAGTAATTAGTGTAGTGCTAGCTAAAGTATAGAAGCAGGTAATGCTAGTATATTTAGTGTTAATAGCAGCATTATGTTTAGTCTACTTCTATGCAGAGCCTTATATAGTAATAAAGGTTACATATAAAGCTTTTTTAGTATAATTACTTTTTTTTATGCTATATTATACAGCTTCTAGGCTTAGGTACCTTTAGTGCCTAGCTGTAGTGTAATTTTTTTGTTTTTTAGCACTTATATAAGCTTTCTTTTAAACATGTAGCTAAGTGCTAAGAAGTCTTATAGTGTTTATTTTTTAAAATTCTTTATATACATACTTAGAAAGGTAGCGCCCTTTTAAGTTATTATGCGTAGATTAGTAATTATGTAACTTATATATAATTAAGTTTATAAGCTTATTAAAGCTTTTAACATGTTAATCTTATTATTCTAGTACTCTAGGCTAGTCTTATTCTATAGTGTTGCCTCTAATATCTCTATGTCCTTTATAAGTTGTTTATATAACAGAAATTATTCCTTATTCTTTTTATTATTACATAGAGTTATTAGTTACTAATAAAATTTTATTATAATAGTATAGTTAATTACTTTTCTAGTAGATTACACAGGTACTGCTGTTATCTAGCTACTAGGTTGTGCAGCTTTAATAGCTTTAGAGTGCGCCTTATACTATCTCCTCTTTACTTTGTACAGTAGCAGAGCTTACTATGTAATGTAAAGAATTAATATGCTATTATCTAGCTGCTAAGTTATGCAGCTTTAGTAGCTTTAGTGTGCATCTTACACTATCTCCTTCTTACTCTATACAGTAGTAGAGCTTACTATATAATGTAAAGGATTAATCTGCTATCTTAAGAGATAAGTAACTAAACAAAGTACCTTATAAGGCGTAAGTGCTTTGTTATTACTTTTCCTAGAGAATAGGTAACAAAACAAAGTACCTTATAAAGTGTAGGTACTTTATTATTACTCTTACTAATTTATAGTTAATTAAATTAACTACTAATTAGTGTTAAATAGGCTCTAATAGCTAGCTACTTATAGTATAAGCACTTAAGTAGTAAAAGTAAGAGTAGTGTACAGTGTGCACAGCGTACAAAGTAAGTAAAGTAAGGGCAACATGTTTCTAGTTCTATTGCTTTTGTCTTTCCTCTGTACAGAGGAAAAGGGGGATATCTAGATGTTTGCGCACAGAGGTTCGCGCACAAGCATCATGTGACAGAGATACGTGGTCCTGCTCGTGCGCGATCGCTCGTATCCAGACTGTGACGCTGCTGCTGCGTACAGACAATTTCTAAGTTATTTATTAAATATACTCTAATTAGTATTTTCTTTATTAAATATAGTATTTAGTATTATTCTACTATATTAAGGTCTATTAGTATACTAACTACTCTACTATTTAATAGTATTCTTAACTTTATAGCTTTGATTTATACTTTAAAGATAATTTATTTTTCTATATTCTATTATACTACTATAATTAAGATTATATTAATTATTTTCTCTCTATACTAATCTACTATATAGTAGATTTCTTATTTTTTACTTTTATTATAGCTAATTATTCTTTCTAGACTATAAATTCTATAAAGTTATATATATTAGTATCTAATTTATACTTAAAGTAACGTACCTAACGGGTTGGCCGGCCACACAGGTTGGCCGGCCACTTTTGCCAAGCCCCTACTAAAACCACCCTATTCTCTTGCAAAACAGCCTACTTTAGCTCTATATAAAGTAATATAACATAAGATATTATTTAGAGTCTACTTCTACTACTTACCTATAGAGACAGGTAAACTTCTCTCGTGTGGCCAGTTCCGGTTGCAGTCGCTCGCCTGAGCAGCCGCTGCTTTAACCTGAGCTGAGGTGAGTCGCTCCGGGAGACCCCTGATCTGAGCCTGAGCACATATTAGAAGGTCCAAAACTGGACCTGCACAGCCTCTGAGCATGAACGAAGGGGCCTGTTTAGGAAACTCGACGCTTGGCTATACTTTCCTAGTCACGTGCAGCGCTGTTTCGGCTAAGGCTGCTGCCTTCGGCTTAGCCACCTCCTTCAACCACCCGCCCCCCGCTGCCCAAACCTTACCTGCTCTAACTGCTATCTACGCATTAAAAGCCTTACAGAAAGGTAAGAAGGCACTGTAGTCTATTACCTGTGTTACTTTTCGTATGCTCCACTAACAACTATCTAGACTGTTGATAAATATAGCTAGGTCCTAGTTGTTCCCTCCACGTTCGATAGTACGGGCAAAACTGACACGCTGGGTAGCACTTGAGCCATGTCTGGGTGGCAAAAATTAGCCTACATCTCCAGTGACGAGCTGAGTGACAGCCTAAGCAGAGAGTGCAATTTCCGTACCCTCACCGCCGAACCCATCACTTTGGCCGGGGTCCATACACAATGAGACTGGATTGGATCGGCTTGGAATTGAGGATGTGTGGGATCAGTGCACCAGAAGAGGAGCTCGAGCCGCCGGAGAGGCGTAGTATTACGACATAACACGTTTGCTAGTCGGCAAGGGAGAGGATTTGACATGGTCTCTGTGTCAATGGGGTGCCGGCCGTGAGCGGAATAGTCATATTCGACTCTCAAACACGGCGCTGCCATGACCTTGTGAGCGACTTAGGATTCATATAGGAGTGGGGCAACTTCATGCGTAGACGTCATACAGAGATATGGATTCAAGGAAGAGCTAGTCAGACGGTGATAAGGTGGCTGGATTTAGTGATACAATAGAACTAGGCGGCGGAGATTCTTGCATGCCGGACAAACTGCGACTTTGAGTTCAACGAAGCCGGCCGTTCCCTAGACATCGTGGAAAACCTTGACGAAGCGTGTCCAGTCCAATTTCCCGTGCGGCCCTCAGTCAAGAGGCGCAGCTTCCAGGCACCCCTCACGCGGTGTTCAGGATCAAAGGACCGACTGGCGTACGTGTGACTCATCTACCGCCGCCAAGACCTATGGGCAGAAGGATCTTGAGGATGTACCGAGCGATGGAACATCGTGTGCGCCAAGAATTATATTCGCGATCGTTTCCCAACCAACCGCCCAGACAAAGATGCCCGACGCTGTCCTTTGGTAGTCTGACGGCTCGTGCCGTTGATCTTTCTACATGCCGATTCGACTAACTTATAGATATCAAGCATATTATATAGATGCTTTGTAGTAAGGGGAATGAGAGGATCTGACTCTACCAGCTACATACTCTATCACAACATGCTCTTATGTCTGAGAAGATTGTGATGAAGGCGGGAACGGCGACGGGAATCTGAGCAAAATGATTTCTCGAACCTTTTCTGCACCCGTTCGAACATCTCCTCTATTTTGCCCTGCTTGCCTTGGCGGACGTAGAGCATGCCCAAATAGTTAAGTGTGTTGAGTGTCGCAGGGCGATCCGTTCGTTTCTACCTACTCCACGATCACATCCCACTCCCTCGGAAACTTCTCCCTCTCCCCTTCCCCAAACCCCCTCAACAACAGCCTCGGCACCCTACCCCCGGCCCCCTTCTCCAAAAACTCCATAACAAACCTCCTCAAGTCCTCAGGCATAACAACGTAATGATACCAGTAATACCGCGTCTCCCCCTTAATCGTCAAGAACACCACATTCTCAAAATACCGCCACCTCAAATACGCAACCCACGTGGCCACGAACTCTCTACCTCACGCCTTGACGGCGGCCGCTCCCACAAAAGCCCCTTCGGCTTCCTCCCCCTACTCCACATAACTATATCCTCATCCTCGTAAAAGTGAATGCGGATGCGTATCTGCCTCACGAGTTTACTATTCCTGGGTCCGATTTTCCTAGCGAAATTAAGCAGTCCGCGGGGTTCGAGGAAGAGGAATTCATTTTTAGAGTATAGGACTGCGGAGGCTTCGGCGTGGAGCTGTTTGTTTGCGGATAGGAGGGCGGTTGTGGGCGCGCGGTGGGCGCGCAGGCGGCATTGGGGGTCGTAGAAGCGGAGGCCTTGGTTGGGGGCGCAGAGGCAGTAAGTGTAGATTTGGGTGCGGATTTCGGGGGGGAGGGTGAGGAGGGGGAAGGGTCTGTTGGGGCGTGTTAGCTAGCGATAGGGCCGGGTTGCCGTATTGGGCTTATGGTGGTGCGACGTGTCGTGAGAGGGCGCTGGCGCAGCGTACCTTGATAGAAGGTTGGAGCTGTTGTCGGTATTTTTCATGGTTTGAAGGCTATTAGTTACGTTTTGTTTGATATACGGAGGATTATTGGGTGTAGACGCGGCGACAAGGCTGGAGGATTTCGGATTGGTCTGGCACGTGCTCCGCCATGCAGCCGCCCTCTCTGCCCCTCACTCCGCTAGCCCTCTCTCTACCGGCCTCTCCGCCGCTCCCCTCAAACAGCTCTAGAGAGTTGCTGACCGTCGGGCATTCCCATCACGGCATTCGAACACAACAATCCGGAAGTGGAGAATCGTCAGTTCCGTAAGCGGCATACTGTGAACCGGACGCTGGGCTGGCATTGCGGCTGAACTTCAAATGAACCATGGAATCACAGTCTCAGCAAGCAGTAGCCACGAATAATGGACGCAGCGCGCAGGCCGTCGAGGCGGAGCTGGGCCTCTCCCAACAATTGCAACGTATCAAGAAAAGATTTCAAGATAAATCGTCCCCTCCGGCAGGGGCCCGTGAATTCAGGCTGATCAGAAAGAGTCTCGAGAAACTCTACCTGCCGCTGGCTCAGGCACCGCGGATCTACGCCGTGCTGTGGCTGATTGATCAAACTGCCAAGGCGGATGCTTTCGATGTGAATAATGGATTCACGGATGCCGCCTTTCCATTCTCTCTGGGAACTCTGCCGGACGCGCTCGATGCTAGCATCAAAGAGCAATTCCTCCAAACGCAAGAGGCCGTTATGACTGCAGGAGCGAGGATCGAAAACGGCCAACACGTCCAAGCCCAGTTTGGCACTCTGGGTTTCGAGCTACAAGTGCGTCTCAGCATGGACGAGTGGATCGTGGAGTCGGAGCAAACCGAGAAACGCTACACGCTTCTGCGCCGCGACGCCCGCCGCAACTGGCCCAACCACACTCTCCTTGATGAATACACAACATTTCTAAAGGGGCTGAGGCATGAGCACCTTGCGGACTTCATTGGAAGCTTTATAGATGAGCACTGGATCAGGGCGAACCTTCCGTCGGTCGGTATACTTTTGTCTCCACCGGCTGAGATGCTTCTATGTGATCACCTGAATATAATCGCACAACGACGAAGTGAAGACTTGGAGGCGCAAGAGAGACTCACAAAATCATTTGGCTGCCTTGCGAATGGGCTTGAATTTCTCCAGCACCATAAGCTGAGGCCAGTGGCAACCACACAAACAATCATAGTTTATCACAAACAGTTGAAGCTTATCACAGGCTTCAATGACGACTCGTACGAGAGAATGGTGTACGAAGGCGCAATGTCATATCGGGAACCATATGACAACATTTACGCGTATGCATGGACCTACTCCCAGCGCTCTTCTAGATCTGCGATACGATGGCTAGGGCTGGTATTTCTGGATATATTGACAGCTCTGCGCCGCAGATCTTTAGTAATTCGATATCACAGAGAGACTGAATCATGGTTGAGAGATCCACATTGGCATATCTGGCAGGCTCTTGTTTACAAGCTAGCGGAACGCAGTTCCGTTGACGCAATGGTTCCGCTTGGATGGATCAAGGAAATGATGAGCGAGTCAAATGACCCCGAACTTACAATCACTCAAGTTGCGGATAAGATTCGAGCGTATCCAAGGGATGGTGAGGGATCTAGATTTTGTGGGTCATGCTGCATGAACAGTGCGGTCCAAGCCAGTGAGAACCCTTCCACGGCAAGCCAACTCTTCAAGATTGTGTAGAATGGACATCGGCCACTAACAAATAGCAGTATCCGTCGACAATGACCTTTTCAGTAGCTGAATTTCTCAGCTCCAGGGATTGAAGCCCCCTTTGCGACAACGCAAAGGCCGAACCATCTCATCTAACGGCTCCTGAAATCCATGTTGAAAGGGACGACAACTGAACACGTTGGCGGATCCATTTTGGTACTCCACTGTATTTTCGAATCATCAAAGTCTCAATCTCGAGTATCATATATATCTCATAAATGACCTAGCTGTGGAATTAGCTGTCTTTGTGCTATCAACAGAATGCCTTTTCCATGATTCGATCCTGTCGCGTGGTTTCCCTAGGCCGTACGCTCTGTGGCTTTTCCATTAGCAGCACGAACAGCCTCCTGAGTCTTTTTATCTTCTTGCTTGTGCCTCCGTTTTATGAGCGCCGCGTACAACAGATATACGGACACAATGAAGACAGTGGATGGCGCCGTCACCGCCCAGTAAAGCCAGAAAGTGGGTCTCGGTAGCGGTAGTCTAGACGGAGTTGAGAAATCGAGAAAAGGAGCCGCAAAGAATGTCTGTCCAACGAAATTATTAGTTAGAACGATACAGTATGCGAGGCGTGCGACACACCGAAATATATGTTCCTGGCAAAAACGTCATTGTGAGAATGGCGATTGCTTTCATTGCCGAGCTGTCTCTCTTTGTAGCGACGGCTACCTGGCGTGAAGCTTCCGAGGTATCAAGAGACTGGGCTGCAATCCGCTGGCCGACTAAATTACCCTGCCTGGCCAGAAGGTTGTATACCTTGCTTCAAAGTTAGCTCAGCACTGCACTATGAAATTTCATCTGAACTGACCGCATTCGTTTGCGCCTGTGCTCTAGCGGTGATGTATTGTAGATCTGACAGCACCACTTTTGACTTGTGTGCGGTCAGCTCCAAGTGTTCCGAAAGCATCTCTGTTACTCTTTTGACGGCACCACTCCTATCATCCGGCGCTGCTTTCTTGATTCCGGCGAGGCCGTCCTTGATCACATCCACTCCCAAAAGCAGCGCATGCGTGTTACTTTCCCATGCCGTGGCCAGTTGGACAACACCCAAGATGCTATTTGTCGTATCCGCGAACTCAGAATCGTCGTACATGGACAAGTCCTTCGCCGGAGCGCCCGTCTGGCCGCTCACCGTCTCCACGCGCAGGAGCTGCCCCCAAAGCTTCGCTGCCTCACCGCTGAGAAGATTGTGATGGTATTCCGTGAACAAACAGGGCAAAAGCAGGGGATGCCAGGCAAAGGACGCGCACGACTCCAGCTGCATGACAATGAAGTCCGTCTGCGCGTCCGAACAGCCGAGCAGAATACCGCAGGTCCGGCCTGTTTCCAGGCCGTGGGATAGTGCTAGTTTGATATTCATGGCAATGATCCCTCGAGTAGACCTTCTCATGGTGATCCCTGCCGTGCAGTCTGTCAGTGGCGGCATCGATTTGCATAGCAATGAAGTCCAATTACCAATCCAAGATTTCTTTGAACCGTTGGAGTCTAGAGTGTACTTCTGCAAATGAGTTGAGTCCGTCACGAAGAGCCACGGCGCGGAAGACGGAAGATGGAACGCGTCCATGATCAACTCCAACGTAGCCCTGGAAAAAGGTACCGACTTTTCAAGTGGAACATCCTCGAACCTCGTTGGAAATCCAAAGGCAGTGCGTTCTGATGCTGCCGCTAATGATGACGGTGGTGACGACGGAGAAGCGTTTGGCGCTGACTCAGGTCTCCATGAAAGCGGAAGACTCTTTGCAATAAACCGACTCCGCGAGGATGGACCAAGACTATAAAATAAGGTTATTGAGCTCCTGCTGTGTATTGATCCAGGGATACATACATTAACCGTAGCTCTGAGATTAAGCTATTACCATCTTGATCTAAAGCCGGCGCCGGCGAGTCGATCCAATCTTCTAACTCCAGTTGTTTTAGACTTGACAACTTTGGAACCGGTGATTTTGTCTACTCGGTTTTCAAAATCAGCATTTTTGGGGGGCAGTGTAAGAGAGTGTGGCGCGTTTTGTTACGCGATAGAAGCTCTCGTACCTGGTATTGGCTGATTTCGAAAACGTCGACAAGACTCGGAATGTACTCTAGTTGATCCAGATACGTCTCATGGCCAAGAGAAAAGATACTCGGGGATTCCATGTTCTTGAAAGTCTCAACGGATCTTGCACATGCAAAACAGTCTGGATTAGAGTGTCCAAGCCTCAACGTGAACAATTGTAGTCGAACGACTACGTTGGAGCAATTCGACAGGCACGATTCCTATTTGATAAGAGCCGATGACTTAAAGCAGAAGTTGACGCAGACTCAAGGAAAACCATAGATCATGAGACTGCGGCGCGCAGAGCGCGGGGTAAAGCCGAGAAGCCTGACGAGTCTTGGCGGGGTTCCGTGCGTAGGGCACATGCTGTGACGGGTTGAACCCGATTCCTTGCTCCTCGGCTATCTGTTGTATGCTTTATATAGAGACCCAGCGCCTAGTCATGTGCCTGGAACTAGGCTCGAACCAATCGAGGACGTCGTCAAAGCGCGGCTGTGAACCCCTGTCTCGGGCTTTGAACGAGCGTTCCGTAAATCCCACCCACTAGACATAGGACATTGAATGATTGTACTATTGTCCGTTTGAATAGGTAGACGGTTCCCTTTTTAAGCATTTTCGCGAGGTCGAGGAAATACCACTCTATAGTCGCTTCCGTGATATTAGTGTGACGATCTTAGCACGGATATTTTGGTAACGTTATAAATTGTTGCGCTCTCCCCATATCTTCAATTTCCTTCCGTTCCCCAAAACAATCGATTGCTTGTGCAGCAGCGTATATGCTAAGGTCTGTTATCCGCGGGATAGAATTCATCATCACTAAGTTCTACCCCTTCGATTTTGTTCCGGAAAGCTGCTCTTTGTTGTCTTCGTTTATGGATTTTTATTAGAGTCCGGTATAGTAGTAATTTGTTTCCTCGGTAGTAGAGATACCTCTTTCGACGCGCTATGTAAACCTGACCATGCTTGTCGCCAGGAGGTGAAGCCTTCTCGAGTTCTTGTGTTAAATGACTCAGCCTCCTATTCCTCTTCTGAACTTGCCAGTATATACTTTCTACCGTGGACCAAGGAAGCGCCATTTCTTTAGTGATGGGCTCCTATATCCGAGCTCTTTCTCTAGAGGATTGTGTGAGCGTTTATAGACTTCTAACGTAACTTAGATCCTACCAGATGTATAATCTTACAATCTTTTCTGTTTTTAGGTTACTTAAGAGCCTCTTTAATAGAAACTTGTCCGTACGCAGCAGCGTTACGGTCTGGGTACTATTTATCGCGCGAGAAGGATCACGCAACTATGTCGCGTGATGCTCGTGCGCGAACCTCCGTGCGCGAGCCTCCGTGCGCGAACATGTACATATTCTCCTTTTCACGCAAGGCAATGGGGAGCGCCCAAAATGGCAGCAGGAGCAAATTCGAATATATTTGAGACTCTATCGTCACTTGCATCACCTCCATCGAGCCGACCTACCTCGCCGCCGCCATCGAACACGTATACACACCGAACCGCTTCACCGTCACTGTCACTGTCTTACCTATGCTAAACTAATTCACCATCATTGTCTAACGCGTTGCAATCCTTCTAAATAATTTAGTTATGTTACACCACGTTCCTATCTACATAGAAATGCGTAGCTGCATCCCTAACGCAGCTAGCAACATGCGGCTTCATATACGCGGAAGAGAATAAGGATTAAGAATATATATGTACCTGCTTAATCTGTAAAATAGAGATTATATTACCTTATAAAGCTGCAAAACTAAGTAATAAAGATCTGCTTAAGTTCTATAAGCAAGACTGTCTATTAGCAGATATAATACTAGATTTTTTTAGCTACTAAGACATTAACACTGCCCCTGCTGCCACTCTTTAAAGCCTTTAAACAACACTAATAGCTAGACTGCTGTCTACCTTTTCTTCTAACTTGTCTTTATCTTAGCAGTCTAAGTTACGTCTGCTAACACGCTTATTGCTACTTTACTTACTGTTACTGCGCCTATTGTTACTACACTAACTACTGCCACGCCTATTGCTGTCCTACCTACTGCTATCGCGCATACCCTCTTAGCGGTTATATGTAAGTGTGGCTGCTAGTACGCTATCTAGCCCCAGCAAAAACACCTTGCTGCTACTATTCCCCTTACACTTATGTTACCCTCTCTAACCCTTAGCATCTAAACTACTAGCCCCTACTCTAAAAGCTAGAACATTAAGCCTAAAAACTACGCTGCCCTACTATGGCTTGCCACATTAATTGTCGCCTGTCCTCTCTGTCCACAACCTAGAACTCTAGTTCTAGAGCAACTAGAACCCTTTTTAAAACCTACACTGTTGTTACCTATTATAAACAAGGCCCACTGCTGCTGTTGCACAGCTGCTGCACGCAATTGCAGAACTCCTAAGATCTTACAACTTTAAGAATAATCCTACACTATACTAACACTTGTACACTAGCAGGTTTTGCTTTATTTGCTAACAAAGGGACACTAAACACTTAGAAGAGAGAGCCTTAAGAATACTTGCTACTTACTAAATACAAGAGGTATAGGAGAGTTTGCTAGGAAAATACAGAGAGATAGATATTTTACATGTATAGGCTATTAGGAGGTATGCTATTACTAAGGAATTGCTTATGTAATAAACTACTAGTGCCCTCTAGGCTAGAGCCGGGCGTAATAAAGACATCCATCCATCCATCTTTTCACGCAAGAACACAAGAAGAAGAGCAATGAACAACCAGTAACCCCCCCCCTATATCTATGGACCGCATGAAAGTGCACTTTACGGAATCATACGCAAGGCCCGCTAACCCCGCGCCTGACCGTACAAGGAAGTCCATTCAACAAACTGGTAATAATATTAAGAGTAACTCCTCCCACTTCTTCCTAGTAGCTCTTTTGATATATCTTTCTAGTTTATTCCCTTCTCTCTAAGAAGTTCCATAAGCCTTGCATCTTCTTTAGGTCACCATTTGTCTCCCCATATTGGTATATAATGCATAGGCGCTGTTTATTCTCGAGGGGTTAATGATAGTATTTCTATAAAATTTCATTAAAGTATATACGAAGTTGCAGCTTTAAGCTCCTTATAAAAGAATATAAACTAAGAAATAGAATAAATAAGGATTAGTATTAAAATGCCTTTTAGCTAGCTAGCCTAATAACTAACAGACAGATGCTTCAGGAATCTATTTCTGCTCCCTCACGTTTCTAGATTCGGAACCCTTGAAAATACGCAGAACTATCACGGTCATTAGTTGAACTAGAGGCCCGTTTTAGAACTTTTCCATGACATGATATTATAATGCCTAGCCGCCCAGATAAGTACTTTTTTCTTTATAAAACAAGCCAATAGGAGATTCCGCTCAATAGAAGAGCCGTTTCTAGCCCTGCTTAGCCGACATCATCACCCTATGCACAGACGCGGCCAAGTAGATTCCTAACTTCCAGCGCCAATTATTAAACGCACCTAGAGTTCAATAAGAAAGAACGGAGTACTTCATAATAACAATATAGTTCAGACCAAGCAGACTTGAAGGGAAGGTGGCACAATAGATAAAAAGATGTAGGGCGGCTGGGACAGCCTATGAACCAATCAGCGACGGTGAGAGTAGTACATACCATGGCGAAATCGGGAGAGGTAGCTTTTTGTGTACGGTATGTCCCTCCAAAAGTCTAATAATTGGAACCATGTTATAAATAGCACTAGCGATAATATAGCCCCCTTTATAGCAATTTCCCTAAAACAGCATTTTAAAAGTCCCCGAATAGTGACCTCCTAATAATAGACAGCTTAGTCATACACCTTCCCAATGATAGACAGCTTAGTTATATGCAGCCACAAGTCGATCTTCAGTGTTATAATGAGGAGGAACTGCATCATTGCATCAATTGATAGCGAGTGTTAGAGGCTAGCTCCATATACCACGTATAACTCATAATGAAAATCATGAGACGGTTCTATCATCCCTCTAGTGACTGGAACTTCTTTTGCCTAAATTTATTCAACCTGTGCTGGGATTTTCTACCCGGATGTCACGGTTCGTCTGCGATCTGATTCTGCAGCGATGCTCGAGGAACAACTGGCGATAGTATTAGCCTGGTAGGGGTCGAGACTAGATACAAGACGTAGCACAAAGAAGAAAAGGTTTTCACGTGAGTAAGTAAGTGAGTTTATTACGCCCGGCTAAAAACCTAAAGGGCGCTAGTATGGTAGATTACATAATCAGTTCTTAAGTAGTGACATAACTCCTACAAGCCCATATGTGTAGTCTCCCTTTGCTAGAATAAAACTCATCATCATCATCATCTTCTTCTTCTTCTCCTTTTGCTTTATATATCACTAATAGACTCTCCTAAGTTATATCTCTTGTATTCTTAAAGTCCCTTAAGAGTTAGTATAGACTATTCTTAAAGTCGCAAGATCCTAAGAGTTCTGCAATGGCGTATAAAAGCTGTGCAATAGCAGAGGTAGGCCAAGTTTGTGATAGGTAATGACGGTGTTCATTATAAAAAGGGTTCCACTTGTCCTAGAATCGAAGTTCTAGGTTGTGGACGGAGAGGACGGGCGAGGATTGATACAGCGAGCTACGGTGGGATGGTGTAGTTGTTGGCCTTGACGGTCTAGTTTTTGAAGAAGGGGGCATAGTTGGTGCTGGTGGTATAGATACTGAGGAGTGAGGAGGGCAGCGTGAATCTGAGGGGGATAGTGGCGGTGAAGCGTGCTTGCTAGGGTTCGATAGCGTACTGGCAGCCACATTTGCATATAAACGGTGAGAAGGTACGCGCGGTAACAGTGGATGTGATGGCAGTGGGCGTAGTGACGCTAGGTGCAGTAACGTTAGGTAAGATAACAATAAGCGCGATAACAGATACAATTCAAACTGTTAAGATAGGGGCCAGTACAAAGATAGGGTATGTGGCATTAGGGGTGTTAGTAGCGTTGGAGGGCTTTAAGAGATAGCAGCAGAAGCGGTGTCGACATCTAGGTAGCTAAGGAAGTCAAGGAGAGTGGCTGCTAACAGACAGTCTTGCTTATAGAACTTAAGTAGATCCTTATTGCTTTGCTTTGCTACATTGTAGGGCAGTGCAAGTTCTGTTTCGCAGATTGTGCAGGCATAAATGTACTCTTAATCCTCATTCTCTTCAGAATATACGAAGCCACAGGTTGCTAGCTGGGTTAGAGATATCACTTTGCAATCCCACGTGCTTGGAAATGTTATACGACGTGACTGAATCGTTCGGAATGGCTGCGACGCGTTGGGCGGTGATGGTGAGGCGATTCGGTATGGGTGGGACGCGTTGGACGGTGACGGTGAAGCGGTTCGGTGTGTATGCGTGTTCGATAGCGGCGGAGAGGTGGGTCGGCTTGATGTAGGTGATGCAAGTGATGATAAAGACTCAAATTTGCTCCTGCTGCCATCCTCCCCTTTCAGGTTAGGTTTTCACGTCCGTGATCCCCTTGAGGAGATCACGGCCTTCAGTTGATCCGCTCCGGATCGCCATCACGTGATTCACAACATCGCGTGGTCCCGTGACAGCCCCGGAGAGACGTCCCCGTATTTGTGTCCCGGGAGAAACGTCCCAGTCACATTTGTCGCCCCGGAGAGGCTTCCCAGTCACATATGTCGCCCCGGAGAGACGTCCCCGTATTTGTCGCCCCGGAGAGGCGTCCCAGTCACATTTGTCGCCCCAGAGAGACTTCCCAGTCACATTTGTCACCCCGGAGAGGAGTCCTCACAAGTTCATTGTTAGTGCTTACAAGCAGGCGGAATGCCTATACTCGGGTACCCAATACCCGTTACACCGTGATATTAACACATGAGATTCAATCTTAGTAGCAGGAACATGCTATTTGCTTGATAAAGGCTATAGTTAGTTCAAAACTAATTTGCATATTGCCTTAGGAGTCGTGCAGACTCGTTCCAATCTCTATATATTCATTCAGCTTATCTAACTCCTCCTTAAGCAAGTCACCTATACGCTTGTATAGGCTAGCGAGCTTCTGTATACGTATTGCCTTCCTCTGCTTCTTCCTAGATCTACTCGCCGATTCGTCCGATAGTTCAAGCAGTGTGGAGCATTTAGTACTTTCGCTTTGCAGCAACAGCGAGCTTGCTCTGCCTATTGCAATGGTGTTTTGGGTTGATAAGTGTTAGACTGGACGTGTATGTAAACGTAGCAGTGAAAATAGGTAAGGGAGTAGGGGAGATAGATACCTTGTAGTCGGTATATGTTATTTTGTGTATGTGTATATGTACATGATAAAGTGTGGTCTATGTAGAAGAGATAGAGCGAGTCCCTCGGAGTCATATAATAATAACATCACGTGGACCGCTAAGCGAGCTACCCTTGGCCCTTTCCGTGTGACAATAAGACTGCTGGTCTCGGTTACGATGTGGTTCCAGTTTAGGGGTACCTAAATGCCAAGGCTGCCAAACTCTATTTTTATCAAAGGGGACATTTCAGAACTCGGCAGAAATAGACGATAACCTGCTACCCCAGTCGGAACCTTCGATCAAAACCGCCCGCACGTCCTACATAATCATCATCGCGTATACAAGGGGGTAACATAAACGGGCTGCCCCCCCCCTCCCTGTCCTCTCTCACAAATACTCGTCGCTGATTGGTTGTGTCAGGGAGGGGGGGCAGCCCGTTCGTGAGTCCCCCTTGTATTCCTTAAATAGCCCTAAATGCCAAGCTTGTGGCTGTCGGCCTGTGGCTGGTGGTCTCTTTGCTGTCAGGGTCGAAAACTTTGTCGCCGCGTGCTCTGCGCTAGCTACCTAGGCAGCGGCTAGATCCGCCAGTCAGTATCTTAGACACAGGCGCAACAACATCTCGAACAACAGTCAAGTTCTCACCCGTCCCTCTACTCTCGCTCCGCATGCCCGGCACCTTGCCTAGCTGCGATCCTGGAAGCATCTAGTACCCGCGCACTCCCTAACGTTCAGCTCCGCCGTCATCCGCTAAAAACGCGCCAACAGCCCTTCCTAATAGGCACCACAACCCAAGCGACGTCAACCGCTCCGGCCTACGAATATAAACCGTCGCTCACTGTGGCGGAAGGACAACACAGGCAATAGCCCCCGACCAGGCAAGCTCAGCGTAGCGAAAACGACATATGTTGGATGAGTGCGATGTGGAGGAGAATGCTGTCTTAGTGGACAAGGCGACAACACCATCACCCCATCCTCTATTCATCCAACACCAGCCTAGGCACCTCCACACAATCTAGGAAGTCCAAGTCAAAGCCAGCAATAAGTCTGGCCAAGACCTTGTAAGTCGAACTAGTATCCGTGTATTAACTAGCAACAATACTAAGGCTCTAACGCGATTTCCACGCTGCCTGCGCTCAACATTAACTGTACACCGAGACTATTTAAATCTAGGAAAACTTTCTGCCTACGCCTGCCTTATTATCACGATCTAAGTAAAACATTCTACTAACACCCAATTTCTAATCCTTCTTAGCAAAGTTTTTCACGCCGCCTAACTAACCTATTTATTAGCTTGTTGTCATCTAGATAGTCGTCAGCGTCCCTATCCTCCTCCTAGCACTGCATCTAGTGATCCAGCCTTTGTAGGGGTCCAGGCCAGGTTGGATCGGCTCTATGAAAGTCATAGAGCTTGTGTGGGCTATTCTTGAAGTTAGCTGCGTCATACTACTTTAGATCGTCGTTGTAGCTAAGCCATTTCACACAGTATTTAAGCTTTCTCCTAAAGATACAGGCTTCTAGAACTTCTTTAACTTTATATTTGTCTTCTTTATCTCCTTAGGTAGGAAGAGCTAGGTCGGAGTAGGAGCGCGCCGCTAGAGCGCACTCACGCTAAAGTTTAGGCGACAACTCCTCCGTGCTGTAAACTCCTTCGCTATATTAAAAGTTTGTGCTCTAGAAACTATTATTTTGCTTATTTACCTTAGCATCTGCAGTCTCTAAAAGCGCAATATCGTCTACTTATCTATTAGAGTTTGTAGGTAATTGCTCTTTAGATAGTTAATCTTACTAATGTACTCCTAATCCTTATTATTAGCTCTATTACTAAGAGCATCTTTGTTATTAAAACTATTCTTTGATTTACTACGCTACAAAGATAGTAGCTTCTTATCTTCGCTTTTGTTTTAGTCTAACATAATTTCCAGAGTTGGCGAGAAGTTTAAGTTAGTAAAAGACGGGGCTTTAACTAGAGTAAGACAAAATGTTGACCTCTTCCTTTAGTTTTAAAACGTATTACTTTTGTCAACAAATTTATATTTTAGATCTTCCTTCTTCTATTTAGACAGTCGCCTCTTACTAACGCATGTCCGCTTAGCTAGTCTAGCTCTCCCTTTGCTTGCTAACCTAGACCTTTTAAGAGTACTCTTAAAATTAACATAATAGACGTCTTTAAGATGAAACTAGAGCTCCCGTAATAACGTAAATAACTCTCTATAATAAAGCTTGCGTAAAAAATATACTAGCGACTTAGATTCTTTAGAATACTAATTATAGATATAGTCTTTCTATTCGGCCGTCTCGGGGAACTACTACATTTGCATTTTAGGGGGTAGGGACTTATCGCCTAAATAGTTGGGACAGAACCCTAAAGCAGCAAGCGTTCCTCCGTAGATTAGTGGGTTGTACTACGTAGGGATTATTTTAGGCTTGTCTAAATAGGCTTAGTAATAAGCGTTCTATTCCTTTTAGTCAACGAACTATCCGCTATAGAGGAAGCAAAACTCTATAAACTCGTAACTTTTCTTAAGCCACTTCTAATGGCAACCGTGTATGTGTTTCCACCGTGTGGCAGCCGGTTAACTATTAGAAATTCTCTAAGTAAGCGCTATAATCTTTCGCGTAAAGCCTGTTTTTAGACAGTAGCATTTGTCCAGCTCGAGACCCGGTCGGAATGTTACTTCTACTTCTTGCGAATAGAGCTTAATAAGATTTTAGAAGACAGCCTTGCCTACATCGCTACGTATAGTGGCCTCGATAAACATACTAGACGCTAGACGGTCGCGCACCGGCATAAGTTTACGCGCTTATTAGAATATAGTTCTATAACGGCTAGTGTATTCTTTTGTATAGGCGTTAACTTTACTCGTAGGTTAAGTAGGCTATTCGCTCTAACACCTATAAAGCGCTTCTAAAATTAGCTTTTATTTCTAAAACTATAACTCTTTATATTTATTCTTTAATAGTACGTTATCTAAAGAAAGATCTTTAAGTTACGCTTTAATATCCTTAAACTTGGTACTCTACTTAAGCTTATGTTACTTTTTTACTAGTAGCGACTGCTATAGCTTTAGGTTCTAAGTAATAAGTAAAGAATAAAATTGGTTAGTAATATCTATTTAATAGTCTTTGTTGTAGAAGAAGGTTACTTAACTATCTACTCTAGTATTATTAGGTACGTAATAATTACGATATACCGCTAAGTTATACTATCCGCCCTATTTTATTTTTATATCCTACAAATAATTTCTGTCTGCACGTAATATAAGTTAGGTATATAGAGTACTATAGAATAGTATACGTATTAGTAAAAATTAGACCCTCCGCTCTAAAATTATATACCGTTAAAACTTCGTTATAGCCGGTACGAAAGCCCTATTTTTAAAGATATTAACTAAATGCGCTTATAGTCTCTATTTTCTTATTACTTCTTTTAAAGAACGGCAGGTCCCGAACGATTAGGTTCTAGTAGAATTAAATTATTTACTCGTCTTTTAGAGGTTCTAGTACTAGAACTTTGTCTATCGACTTATAATCTCTAAATATATTTTTTATAATATATATAGCGACTATTATAAGTATTAGATTATAAAATAGTAAACGAGTTTTAACACCTTTATATAACGCGTGCTCTAGTCTATTCCGTAATTAGTATTAGGTGCGTGCGTAATAAGGATTAATTTTACTTTTTATTTAGAGTAAACGTTATACACTTCGCGTCTTACTAAAGCTATATAGCGAATTTTATATTACTATACTTATTACGAAAGATAGTAAAGATTATATTCTAACTTATTACTATTAGTTTATATAGGCTACTTAAAGACGGAATTACTTAAAAACATAAGCCTCTACTAGATTTAAGGCAATATGTAGATTCTACGTATTTACTAATTCTTAAAGTACTAAAAATATAAGCTATAATAAGAACTTATATTTTAATTCTATACTATAGCTTTAGAAGTATAAACTAATTATTCTTCTACTAGTATATTCCTAGATAAAGAAAAATAGATTTATAAGCTATATTACCGTAGTTTCTTTTTATAAGGTAGCTTAAGGATACTATATAGCTTATACTTAATAAACTATCTTATATAATTAGTACTAACACTATAAAACGCCTAGCTAGTAGTAGTAGACTTATATTTAAGGTGGATAATATTATATTTAAGTTTATTACTTTTACTAACTTTTTCTTCTTCCCCCCCTTACTCTCCTCTTTATTTTCTTATTCTTTCTCTATTCTAGCTCGCTTCTAGCTAGTAGTAAAGTCTTTATAGTATTAGACTATAGTCTATAAGCCTAGTTTTTTAATACTATACTTACCTTTAATTTTAAGTGCAATAGACATAACATAGTCTTTAAATATTTTAATATTATTTAAACTTACTCTTAGATTTAACTTCTTATATCTAGTATTAAAATTTTACATTAGTAAAGTGTACTAGGCTTAGAAATACTATTATAGACTTACTAATTTTATAACGCTAATACGTACTTATAGTTTTTCTTTATTTTTAACTAAAGTTCTTTTAGAACTTGTTTTTTATTAATAATGTCTTTCTTCTGTTACGGCCTGACTACCTGTGGGGTCGTCTGGTGATCAATCGGTCCTAGATACTGTAGTGTATAGCAACCTATACAACTACTAGACTGTTAGTATAGATAGAGAGGGGCCGGAGTGCTTTAGCAGAACAACTAGGATCAAGACAATTAATTAGATAAGCTACTTAAGTCGTTCAACGACTCAACAATCTGTGCTTAAAGAAACAAGTGAATACAGATAAGCTAAGAACTACGACTGCCTGAATCCCCTAAGGATTGCAGTCGTATATGTACTTGTTGCTAAGAGCACCTTTGCTCTCTGTGCTCTGTGTGCTCCCTAGTCTTAGCGTCTGCTAAGACTTCTAAGCACACAGAGCACCTAGAGCACAGTTCTTACTAGCTTGCTTCTGTGCTACCTCGTAGTTGCCTACATGACTAGTCTCGTGACTTGTCACGTGATTTTAGGCGTGCCCTGCCCTGCCTAGGCGCTGCCTGCGAGCCTCCTACTCGCGTTGTCCTTAACGTTCGTAGTTCTTCTGCCCGTTCACACGCTTGTGCCCTAGCGAGTAGCTTTAGCTTGCCTGTTACTGCGTCTGCTGTAACACACGCCCCCTCCTCTTCTAGTCTTGTCCTGAGTCTACTGGTAGACTGTTGTCCTAGGGTCTTGCTAACAAGGTTTAGCAACCTTGTATATAAGGCTGCGAGTCTTGTTACATCGTAGGCTCTTCTTCTTCCTTTCTATTTCTGCTCTTCTTCTAACTATGCTGAAGGTTGTAAGAGTACTAAAATCAAAGTAGTCCTTAACTAACTATCGCACTGCTTAGGCTTCTGATATTTACTTGTTTAGTCTAGACATGTCCTCCTCCCCTTGCACTGAGTGCTTAGCGCGTAAGAGTCGTTGTGTTCTAGACATTTCGTCTAGACGTTGTTTAGAGTGCACTGCGAAGAACTGCGTGTGCAGCAAGAACGCTAGTCCTTAAGCCTTTGCCTGTGCCCGCTAGGACCTTAACCGTCGTTCTAAGGACTACGACGAAGCAGTAGCTGCTGCTGACCGTGCAGCTGCTAACTGTCGCGCTACTAAGCTCCTTGCCTAGCAGACAGAAGAGGCTGTTGTGAGACAGATTAAGGACGCTGCCTGTCGTTAAATTGCTTACGCCTGTTAGACCGCTGAGGCAGCTCTTCGTACAGCAGACGACGCTTACTGTACTGCTCGTGCCCTTAAGGAACGTTAGCTAGCTCAGCGCTGGGTTGCGTACCAAAAACTCTACGTTTTAGAACGCAACGAAGACGCTGCTATTGAGGAGTTAGCTGCCGCTAAAAAGGCTGCTGCTAAGGCGGCTGCTGCTAAGGAGGCTAAACGTCTTAACGCTCTTCTTGCAATGACCCCCTCGTTTCTGTTAGAACTGTCTAGTTTTAAAGGACTAACAGTTAACCTTCTTTTAGCTAACTTAGTCTCTAACTAGCTCTTCTTTTAAACTCCTCTAGCTTGTGAGGATAATAAGTGAGATTCTGTCTTAGTTCTTACGTATCGTCTTTGCAACTGTATCCTGTCTATTTAACGCGATACTGCTAACCTTTTCTGCGCTTACGTTTGTCTAGTATAGCCTTAACTTTAAATTCCTAATCCTCGTAGGCTTCCTCCTACTAATCTAGGACTGCGCCGTTAGGCGCTTTCTTAAGCTAGGAGATGTGTACTACTAGGTGGATACGCATTGTAGGTAGTAGTCTTAACTCTACGTTAACTGGCCTGATCACCTGCTTAACCTTAAATAGTCTAATTTAGAGGTTATCTAATTTCTAACTTAGCTGTTTTCTGCGCAGGTGTTTCTAAGATAGGTAGACCTTGTCTCCTACCTAGAATTATAGTCCTATAGCTACCTTCTTGCTAGCTACTTAGTACATCTGCTTGGCGGCCTCCTGTAGCTTGAGCTGCAGCTGTTGCTGATGTGCTACTTAGTCCTGTGCAATAGGGTTTTCTTCTTCCCGTTGCATTAGCCTTAGCTCTTGTAGTGCTAGGGGATTGTACTCGTACACTGCTATAAAAAGGGACATCCTAGTAGTTGCATGCTTAGCGCTGTTGTATGCAAACTGTGCTGCAGGTAGCAGCTCTACCTAATTGTCCTGTTCTTAATTCACGTAGTGCTGTAGGTACTCCTCTAAGGTCTGATTTATTTATTCTGTCTGTCTGTTAGTCTAGGAATAGTAGCTTGTTAACATCTTCAGCTGCGTACCTAGCATGCTGTTAATAGTTTGCTAGAACTTTAACATGAACAGTTTATCCTAATCGCTAATAATAGCCTGCAGTATCCTATGCTTACTAGACACAGTTTAAGCTACTTTATAGGCTAGCTAAGCGGCTAAAATAGCTTCTTGCGTAGGCTTAAAGTACGCATACTTCGTTATCTGATTAACTACTACTAAGATAGTGTTGCATACTTGATTAGTTCCTAGTTCTCTTAACTTTAGCAGCTTAGTAATAAAGTCTATTAACACTTCCTCCTACAGCCCTTCTAGGACCTTAAGTAGTTAGGGTGCCTTATACGTCTTGTGTTGCTGTACTAAGTTCTTCGCGCAGGACTTGCATCCTTTAATAACTTGTTCTACTGTTTGTTGCATACTTTTAAACTAGTAGTTGCGCTGCAACTGTTCCTCTGTACTAGCCCTGCCTCTATAGCTGCTAGTAAGTAAGGAGTGTACGTCTTGTACGAGCTTGGCTCGTAGTTTAGGAGGTACCTATACCTTCCTTTTGATTATCTATAACCTGTTGACCCTGCTGCGGGGCTTTTTCGTGGCTGGCCTTTGCTTACAGTCCTGTAGATGCGTGCGAATCCTGTCCTCCTACGTATCCTCTGTAATTGTAAGGCTTGCTAGTGCTGGTTAGTTGTAGACGAGTGCCTCGCCCTTCTACGCTAGCACTGCGTCGTGCTCTATGGTTTTATCCTTAGCCATATAGTTAGGGCGACGGCTGAGAGCGTCTGCTGCCCTATTTGCTGTGCCTTTTTAATAAAGGACCCTAAACTAAAAGTCTGCTAGGAACTTAGCCTATCTAACCTGCTGTTAATTTAACTGTTTAGTTGTTATAAACCTTGTGAGGTTCTTATGATCTAAGTACACTGTAGTTTTGTGTTTTGCTCTCTTTAGATACTTTTCCTATTGTTTAAACGCTAACACGATGGCTATTAATTCCTTGTCGTAGACATTGTAATTAAGCTAGGCGTCTAAGAATTTCTTAGACATGTAGGCTACTAGATGTCCTGCCTAGAGCAGCTAGGCCCTTATAGCTATATCTGACGCGTCTGTCTCTACCTCTGCTAGTAGTTCTAGGTTAAAATTTTGTAATACTAGTGCTTCTATGTACTTTTGCTTGAGTCCCTTAAAAGCTTCTTGCTGCTTTAGGCCCTATTCAAACAGCACGTTTTCCTTAGTTAAGCGTGTAAGGGGTTCTGCGATACTAGCATAGTTTTAGATAAAACTCCTGCAATATCCTGTAAATCCTAAAAACGCCCTGACATCTTTTACTTTGCTTAGCTCTAGCTAGTTAAGGATAGCCTGAACCTTGTCCTAGTCTACTAATATGCCCCTCTAACTTACCTAAAATCCTAGGAACCCTGTCTTAGTTACGTAGAACTCTGTCTTGTTAATAGCTATTAAGAGCTTGTACTCTTGCAGTTTGCGTAGTACTTTCCTAACACATTCCTTGTGTTCTGCGAGCGTCCCTCGAGTGTACACTAACACATTATCTAAGTATACGATAACGCATACGTTAATATACTCGTGTAGGGCCGTGTTAATCACCTCTTAGAACGTAGCTAGTGCGTTAGTAAGTCCTATTAGCATGACCTAGAATTCGTATAACCCTTCTTAGGATTTAAATGCCGTCTTCTATTCCTTACTTTCCTTAATGCGTATCTAATAATACCTATCGCAGATGTTGAACTTTGTGAACTACTGCGCCCCCTGTAACTAATCTATGACTTTAGATATTAGTAGCAGTAGGTACACATTCTTTTAGGTTGCGCTGTTAAGGATGCGGTAATCTACACACATGCGTTTCTTTCTGTTTTTCTTTAGTACAAAGAGTACTAGGGATGCTATCTTGCTATAGCTTAGGCGAATATATCCTCTTGCTAAGTTCTTCTTAATAAACTGTCGTAGTTCCCTTTAATCTTCCTAGTTAAAGGGGTATATTTAACTACTCTTTAGTAGTTCTAGTTTCTCTATAGGTATCTCGTGATCTTATAGTTGTAGTTTAGGAAGTTTTGCCTTAGGTTTGCTAAGTATCTACTCTTTAAACTCTGCGTAATCTTTGTTAATCTCTTTAGGCAGTTCGTCCTGTCCTGTCACTGCACAGATGTATACCTGTCCCTTGTGTAGTGTGCTCTTTTGTAAGGTTATTCTAGACAGCTCTAGGGGCCTTAGTCTGATTTCCTAGGTTACCTAATCAATATCTAGGTTATTCCTTAGCAGCTAATTGTTGCTAAGAAGTATTAGTTAATCCCCTATGTCTAGAACATCTAACAATACCTCTTTGCTAATTTGCGCTACTGTTAAACAGGCTAGCAGGGTTTCTAGATTGATCCTGCCCTTCCTATATATAGGGTCCTGTCTATCCGCTAGCGTGATAGCGTATAGGTTCTGTTTAGTGCAATATAAGATCTTCTAGTCCTCTACTTACTTTAGGTGAACGAAACTCCTATCTGCTCTACTATCTACTAGCGCTATTGCCTAGTGTCTGTAGTAAGTTACTAATACCATTAACCTCCTGCGTCAGGGCGCTATAATGCGTCTAATAGTCCTTGTTAGTTGCTATTCCTCAGGTAGACCTGTTACAGAATAGCCTAGTAGTTTTTTGCTAATCCTAGACTAGAGATCTGAGATCCCTGTAGTGTCTTGTGTATTAGGCATTGTTGTAGCTTACAGTTCTCTGCTCCTTTGTTAATGTAGTTCTGCTTTATGCTTACCCTGTAGTGTTAACATTTCTAGCCTACAAAGCACTCTTAGAACGTTAATTGTGAGTAGTACTGATTGTCTAGATTCTATCCTGTCGTTCTTTGTTAGCCTTAATGTGCGCGGCACCCTACTGTGCACTTTAGCTACAGGAGCTCTGAATGCTTAAGCCCCTTTAGGTCCTCCTTGTCTGACGAGACTTCTAGGGTTCCTAGTGCCTCATGCCTAAGCATGTTAAGCTGTGCCTTAGCTAATCCCTTTTCTTTTCCTCCTAGTTGTATAGGATATCTAGTCTAAGGGCAGCTATCGCAGTCGTGTATTTCTGCTCTACACGTCTAGCACTCTTCTCTTTCTAATCGTCTTAGTACTTCCTGTCTGTCTACGTACAGCTGCACTGTGCCTGTAGTAGATAGTGATGTCTGTTCTTGTTTAAGTTATTCTGTTAACTGCAGTTCCTGTATAAGTTGTTCTAACGTTAGCTTAGCAGTTTCTTGTCCTAGGAAGATCTTGTCTAGATAGTTAATCTAGTCCTAATTATTATTTCGTCCTGCTTATTGCGCTGCCTCTATTAGGGCTGCTGTAGCCTTAACGAACTCTTCCCCTGTAAACGGTACATCCTAGTAGTCATGTCTACATTTCTGCAGATGATGCTGACCTGCATACATCTAACATTAATTAGCATATACCTGGCTACGTATAGTCTCTGAGGATAAATGCTCTATGTATGATAGGGCTTCCCGCGTGATCACTGCTACAGACTCCTGTTAAAGTTTTAGCTAATAGCCTGATCCTTGCTTCTTGTCTACGTGATAGAGGCATAGATTAACTGTGCACGCTAACTAGTGTTAAGTAATCTGTCTGCAATCCTACTTAACTTCTAACTACGTGTCTGTGTCTTGTGTGTTAATTATGCTAACTTTCTTTTTCTCTTTGCATTCTCGTGCGAAGTAGCCTGCCTAGCTGCATTTAAGGCATGCCCTTTTTTTTATCTATGTCTTCTGCTGTTCTGTTAACAGCTTCTTGTTCTTAGGCTTTAGAGGAATTGCTCTAATAACTATTAGATCTCCCCTGTCTTCTTTAGCTGTTAGAGTAAGGTACTTAGAGGCTTTTCCCCCCTTTTCCTTCTCCCTAGAGTACAGTTAGTTGTTGATTCTAACTGCTAGTTTGATTATTTTGTAGAGCTCTGTAGGTCTTTCTATAGTTATCATCTTATCCTTTACTTTCTCTTTTAGACTAGCGTAAAACATTTCTGAGAGGGCATCTAGCTCCTAACCCGCGCGTCTAGCCAGCTGCTGAAACTTGGCTGCATACTAGTATGCTGCCTTTTTCTGCGTTAGCTTTAGCAGATCCTGCCGTGCGGTTTGAATTGCGTCTACGCGTCCAAACACTCTACTTATTATTTCTTTAAACCCTGTCTAAGTGCGAAAGACCTCGCGCGCTGTGTTACTTAAGTCTAACAGGTTTAGACTCTTGTCTAACTAGTCTAAGAGCAGTAGCTCTGCCTACTTCATGGCATCTCCTTTAGTGTTAAGCAACGTAGCGAGAATCTTATCAGTGTCTTAGGGGTACGTAGATCTATTGAACCGTAGGTACACCTCTATGCTAGCTATAAAAGGTAGGAGCTCCTTTGCCCCTCTTTAGTACTTGTTAGGTAGCCTTGTCTAAGCTTAGGCCTGCCGTCGTGCTGTCATTAGCTCCTGGTATGCTAGGTTATGTTGCTGCTAAGACAGCGCAAGCTGCTCCTGATTCTGCAACAGCTTAGCTTGCAGGTCCTTAATCTGTGCTTTTACGTTGTAGGTGTCTTCTATTAGCTCGTTAGGAGTGTTCGTTGTGTCTATGCTTAATAACGCTATGTTATTTCCTTTTAGGTAGTTCTTGTGTTACGGCCTAACTACCTGTAGGGTCGTCTAGTGATTAATTAGTCCTAGATACTGTAGTGTATAGCAACCTATACAACTACTAGACTGTTAGTATAGATAGAGAGGGGCTAGAGTGCTTTAGCAGAACAACTAGGATTAAGATAATTAATTAGATAAGCTACT